ATGTCGTGAAGCGGCAGGCAATGGAAGATGAAAAGAGGATGGAATGGAGATTGGCAGTGATGAGGGAGAAGAAAAGGAGAGTGGACGCGGCGGCGGAGGCGGCAGAAGAATTAGAGGAAGTAAAAAGGATAGAGGAGCAACTAGCCGCCCAGACTGAACTCCCGGCCCAAATGCGAGTCATAGCTCGAAATGTTGCACGCCTGGCACGAATTCAGGCGGAGCAATATGACTTCAGTAGGAGTCAACACATAGCTGTGCGTTCAATAAAGTTGGGGTTTCGAGAATTTGCGCGCGAGCTGGTAGGCGCTGTAGGAACCGAGGTGGGCCACCGCCTCGACAAGACCGAGCGGTTCTGTGCTGACGCCATTGAGGGCGTCAAGGCGGCAACCCCCAAGGAGGAGGAAGCACGCCCTCCTTGCCGGGAACCAGTCAAGGTCAAATTCCCTGATTCCTACAGTGGAAAAAGGGAAGAGAACTTCAACAACTGGGAAGCTAACGTTAAGACCTGTGTGCACTTGCAACAGGTCTCCCCGGATCAGCAGGTTCTAATTGCGATCCACGCGCTGAGAGATGAGGCGGCCAATTTTGCAAGGTCCCTAGTTCGCGCTGCCAACTGTAGTGATGATCCGGTTGCGTACTCCTCGCTCATGTCCCTTATCGAATTCCTGAAACTTCTGCGCGAGCGATTTGCAGACGTCGCTCGCAGTGTTAAGGCCTCAGACAAGCTCCAAACCATCCATTCTCGTAAATGGAAGAGCGCTAGGGCACTCAAGGGTACAATGGATGAGTTGGTGGTCGTCCCTGACCATGGGGTCACAGAGGGCCAATTGGTCAACCTCTTTTACCGGGCTATGCCCGAGGCCTTTCGAGGGCAGTTCTTCGCGAAGAGCGAAGATCCTGCCACCACTTACGATTCTCTTAGCCGTGAAGTGGTGGCTTTTGAAGCGAAGTCCCTGTCCCTGTCCCTGTCTACCTTCTGGCACAAGGACTTGGACAGGGGAAAGCAATGGAAAGGCCGCACTATCTCAGGGCAGGCAAAGACTAAGGACAGCCTTGTCCTGACTTTAGATAAAGGTAGTGTGGATGAGATCCCCTACGATCAGATTGAGTGGGGGCTAGAGGAGGAGGACAACGGTGTGGGCCAGGGGAGATCCTACGCTGCTGTCGCGGCTGGAGGGAGGCCGCAAGGAGGAAGAGGCCAGGGCCAAAGGGGCCGGGCCTCAGGGAACCGATTCCAGGGCGATCAGGGGGTTGGCGGCAGAGGAGGAAACCTCCAAGCGGGAGGCAGGGGTCAAGGTCCCTCGCAAAACCGTCCTAGGAATAGGTCTCCCTATACAGTAGGAGGATGGCACCCAGGGCTACCTCAGGGTAGGCCTTGGGAATCTTTGGGTCTGGACCAGGACTTATGGCAAAAACGATTGGACCGGGGCCAGTGCATTTTCTGCGGTGACCCGGGCCATATCATCAAATATTGTCCCAAGTATAGAGAGACCCGAACGGCTACCCAAGGGCCAAAAGGCAGCCGCCGGTAGGGGTAGCAACTGCCCCTACCACTAGGCCATGTGGAGAAAATAGCGCTAGCCGGCAGGAGACTCCCACRCCACATGTGCCTACGGCAGAGGTTGCAGGCCGGTGTCTAGACAGCTGTCCCGAAACTGCTTGTGTTAGAGTTTCGCTAGACACCTCCCTCACAGGCGTGGCCGAAGAGTTGAAGGAGAGGATGCCCGCCTGGGCCAAGATGAAGAAGGAGAATAAAGGGCAGCTTATATTGCTAGATACAGAGATTTTTAGAAGTAGATTAGGGGCCCTAGTAGACTCAGGGGCCACTCGCAGCTATATTAGTAGGAAAGCGCTGCAAAAGTTGAGGCTGGGACTTAAAGTCCAGAAACTGACAGACCCCATAGTTAGTATCCTCGCAGACAATCGCACTATGGTTGTAGAGGATTACGTAGAGGGAGTCCAGGCGTATTTCCGCCTAGAGAAAGATGGGAAAGTGGAAAAGATTCTCCACTCCCTGACTCTCCTCGTACAAGACAGCCTCCCCTTTGATATTGTGTTGGGAATGGATTGGGGGGAGGCAGTCGGGGCAACGCTCCATCTGAAGGAGCATGAGTGTAGGGTCCCTAGTCCTGCAGGCGAGGCTAAGACTGCCCGCCTATTCCATGTGTCAGGAGTAGAGAATTCCTTGGCGCATTGCTGCCTTAGTGCCCCCGCATTCGCCAGATTGGTGAAGAAGGAGGAACTAGAGGAACAGGTCTTTGTTGCCTATGTTAGGCCAGTCACTGAGCCTACGGAGGACAGGCCGATGGACCCTGCGATTGCCAGGCTGCTGGAAGAGTTCAAGGATCTAACCAAGCCGCCGATAGGAGTAGTACCGCGGCCCATCCAGCACCGCATTGAGATAGAGCCTGGCAGTATAACTCCTAAGGGCGCCGTGTACAGGATGTCCCCACGGGAGTTAGAGGAACTTCGCAAGCAGTTAGACGAGCTCCTCGAGAAGGGTTGGATTAGGCCCATTTCGTCTCCTTTCGGAGCACCTGTCCTCTTTGTTCCTAAGAAAGAGGGAGAGTTGAGAATGTGCATAGACTATAGGGGTCTGAATGCGATTACAGTGAAGAATGCTGAGCCAYTGCCAAGGATAGACGATCTTTYAGATCGAGTGCAGGGGGCCAAGTATTTCTCCAAGATAGATTTAAAGTCCGGATATCATCAAATAGAGGTACATCCTGATGATCAGTATAAAACAGCCTTCCGGACTAGGTATGGGCATTATGAGTTTATAGTGATGCCCTTTGGACTAACCAATGCGCCAGCTACGTTCCAGCGCTGTATGAACGATTTGTTTAG